GTAGTTTCGAACTGCTGACCCTGAGGTTTGCAGCCCGATTTGTAACCACTACGCTACCAGAGATCTTTTTAAATTGGTTGGTTATGTGCCGTGGAGTCGGTTCCAACTCATAGTGACTCTGTACAGGGTTTCTGATCCTGTAAATCTTTACGGGAGTAGAAAGCCTCATCTTTCTCCTGAGGAACAGCCGGTAGTTTCGAACTGCCGGCTGTGAGGTTTGCAGTGGCTATGCTAGGGCTACCCTACAGGGTTTCTAAGGCTGTAAACGGGAGCAGAAAGCCTCATCTTTCTCCTGTGGCATCATGGGTAAGTTTGAACTGCCAACCTTGTGCTTAGTAGCCTAGTGCGTAACCACTTTACCACCTGGGCTCCTTCTTCAGTTGTCCAATATTCAACAACAACAACAACAAATCTGCTCTATGCTCAACCCCAGGGAAATGGCCAAAAGAGGAATGTGGTTGTTGCCAAGTGCCGTCAAGTCAGTTCCATCTCATAGGGTGGAGCAGAAAGCCTCATCTCTGTCCAGCAGAGGAAGATTGTTGTGGTGGTTATGTGCTGTGGAGTCAGTTCCAACTCCTAGTGACCCTGTACAGGGTTTCCGAGGCTATGAATCTTTACAGGAACAGAAAGCCTCACCTTTCTCCTGCGGAACATCTGGTAGTTTCAAACTACTGACCATGAGATTAGCAGCCCAATTAGTAACCACTACACTACCAGAGCTCCTTAGAGGAAGACTGTTGTTGTTATGTGCCATGGAATCGGTTCTGACTCATAGCGACCCTGCACAGGGTTTCCGAGGCTGTAAATCTTTACAGGAGCAGAACGCCTCATCTTTCTGTGGAACAGCTAGTAGTTTCGAACTGATGACCCTGAGGTTAGCAGCCCGATTCATAACCACTACGCTACCAGAGCTCCTTGGAGAAAGATTAGGAGCATTGTAAAACATGTGGATAATGTTTTTTAAACTGCTAGCGTTGCCTACCTAGGAACAATGTTATTTTTCTTAGCTACCCAGCCCCAGTTTGGTTTTGGCTGCAACGTCTCCAGCTAATGAGCTCTCCTAACATGGACAGTGTTGAAATTTAGGAGGAAAAAAATCAAGAAAAAAAAAAATCACAGTCCTCAGAAATCATCAATGTCAATATTTTGGTGCATTAACTTTTTTAAAAATTCCATCTACACATATTGATTTAATGAAAGGAATCCACCCCGTGGCACCGTGGAAGAAAAGTCCTGCTAACTGGTTCCCATAAAGATTACAGATAAGAAAACCCTGTGGAACAGTTTTACTGCATAACACATGGGGTTACCATGAATTACAATCTATTCGATAGCACAAGACAACAACGAAGGTATATGAGATATGCAAAACTATTATACAGAATGAATGTGACTGTAGATCTATAGACATATAGTTCTATAAAGCATGAGAAGAAGGAAACATTATTTCTAATTGGAGGAAATCAAGGAAGGTTACCAGACAGGGTTTGGCCATGTAGCAATAGCAGGAGTAAAGGGAAATCTAATTGGGGCAGGAGGGTATAGAGAAATGCATGGAACTGAGAAATCCAATACACAAACCATGAATAATGAGTAGTGTCTACTTCCAGGCTGCTGAACTAGACAGTGAATACAGGCAGGTAGTATTAGAGATGGCTATATGGAGCTCTGGTAGCACAGTGGTTACGAGTCGGGCTGCCAGCCTCAAGGTCGGCAGTTCAAAACTACCAGCGGTTCCGTGGGAGAAAGATGAGGCATTCTGCTCCCGTAAAGATTTACAGCCTCGTAAACCCTGTGTGGGGTCACTATGAGTTGGAACCTACTCCATGGTACTTACCAAAAAACAACAACATTGAATTAAGCAGTTTAGATTTTAAAAATTAAGCAATCTGGAGCTTTCAAGCAAGGAAACGACATGTTCTAAGCTATACATGTGTGGTGTGGTAGGATAAGCACTAGACTTCGAACCATAAGATTGGCAGTTCAAACCCACCACTAGCTCCTTGGAAACCCTATACAGGGTCACTATGAGTCGGAACCAAATTGACTGCAGTTAAAAAACAAAAATAACAACAACAACAAGCTATACCTTAGGAAATCAATTTAGGAAGGTCGTTCAAGACCATAGTATATAAAATAGTTTAGAGGAAAGAGACTGTCATTAGGAAAGCCTGTTAGCATTGGAGAAAAGTAATGAAGACTTAGAACTAGAAGAATGGCTGTTAGAATAGAAGAGATAGAGTACTGTGCACATAGAATCCACAAGACTTGGTTACAGATTACAATAAATGAACAGAGATGAATGCATAGATTAAAGGTGATTCTGAAGCTTGAACTGGGTGACCAAAAACGTAGTTAGGTGCCATTGAGTTGACTCTAGCTCATGGCAACCTTAAGGAGCTCTGGTAGAGCAGTGGTTACGAATCGGGCTGCGAGCCACAAGGTCAGCAGTTCGAAACTACCAGCTGTTCCGCGGGAGAAAGATGAGGTTTTCTGCTCCCGTAAAGATTTACAGCCTTGGAAACCCTGTACAGGGTCGTTATGAGTCGGAACCGACTCCACGGCACACACATAACAACAACAACATGGCAACCTTATAATAATTACTATGTTTGAGGTGATTGTTGCAGAACTTTTAGACTTTTTGAGACTCTTACATGGTATCAACATTTTCAAAGAGATGAGGATCGTATGCAGCTAACTCGTACCCTGCCTCTTTCACTGGCCAGTACATGAGTGATGAATTTCTCAGGCCATTCAGGTGTGAACGTTTTGTTTCTTACCTGGGTCCACAGCAATTATAGCCTCCAGTTCTCTAATCTTCTGCACAGCTGAAGCCGATATGATGCTGTAGTGCAAAGGATCCTGGGAAATGCGATGGACCTCCGGGATGCCCTTACTGGTGAGACCCGTGGCTGGCTTCTTTATCTCCCTCAGGTCAGTCAGAATCACGTGATCCAGGGCACTGGTGAAAGCCAGTGGGGCTCCTAAAAGGCACATCCGGAGGGACCAAGATGAACCACTTCATAAGACCCCCTACATTCCCATCTAGCTCATCACTGACGGGCAAAATGGCACCCGTGTCTCAACTCTGTTTAGAGGACCCTCTCCACGCTTGTTGCCACCAGCCAAACAAACAGGGATGCGGTAAAATCAACTTCTGTTATCAATTTATTCTTTGCTATGTACTATTGTCCCTGAAGGGAGTCTTGGTGTGGCGCTGTGGGTTAATGCACCAGACTGCAAAACTGTTTGAACTGCAAGGTTGGCGGTTCAAGCTCACCAACTGCTCCTGGGAAACCCTGTGCAGGGTCGCTATGTGTTGGAACTGACTCGACGGCACATAACAACAACAACAACAACAGCATTGTCTCTGAATGGGATACTAGTTGTTCTTGTTTTCAATTAGGTATGCTATCTTTAGTCAGAGTGAAAGGGCTGGGGGTGTGCTGGTGTACCCACGGCACTATGACCTGAGGTGGGAGGAATGAGACAGTGTGTAGGAGGATGGTTCCTGCACATATGTGAGTGTGTATATGCACACATGCACACACACTCAAAGGTGTATGCCTGGCAACTGGCCCATGCCTGGCACGTTTGTTGTTGCTGTTAAAGTGTTGTTAAGTCCGTTGTATAGACCCTGTATAGGTTTTCTGAGGCTGTAAATCTCTGCAGGAGCAAGAAGCCTTATCTTTCTTCCTCCAAGTGGCTGGTAAGTTTTGAACTGCCGACCTTGTGGTTAGCAGTCCAGTGCTTACCCTACAGCATCACCAGTGTTCTGCACCAAGTATGTTGTAGGTGCACAATACAATGGCACTTAACAACATCATCCATGCTATGGATTCCATACAGTGTGTTACAGCACACAATTTGCTGATGTTATTCTCAGATGGTCATACATAGATGTTTGAGGATCAGAAAACACAACAATGCAAACTGAAAAACACTACACAGGGATAGGATTTCTATCAGAACCGGTTTACGATATAGTCATTGAAACAGAACCCCATCACAAGTCAGGGATGACCTGTACTTCTGAAAAACCAGCCATTGAAAACCCTATGGAGCCCAGTTCTACCCTGATACACACCACTGTGAATCCAAGTCAATGGGTCGACAACTTTTTTTAAAAAAAGTAACACAATCACTTTCAACCACCTTGCAAATACCATTTCAAATGGTTTTAGTTGTTTTTCCTGGCTTCAATTTTTTATTTTATATTATTTGTAAGTTTTTCTTGTGAATTGAGTGATAGTCTACATGGAGAAGATCAGTTTTATACTCTTGTTTCATTGCAATGATTATAATCCCCTCCATGCATCATCATTCAACAGTATTTGCTTCTATTCCCTATGTTTTTGCTTTTTTTTGGGGGGTGGGGTGTTGTACACAAAAACACACAAGAACATATATAATCATTTAAACTGCCCAAAGGGTATATTCTGCAAGCCTGCCTCCTGGCTGCCAGCACACAGCCTTTCTCTTTCCACGGGTCTAGAATCCTCAGATACTCTATTTCTCCATGTCCTCATCTCTGCCTCCATCTCTGGTGTCACAGCTTCTCTGGATTGGGTCCCACATTTCACTCTTGTGAAATTTTGCTCTCATCCCTTCATGGTCCTAGGGGTCACCTTTGTTTTTAAGCCTTTTGTGACCTCTGGGACATATATCACCCATCAATATTTTAAGCCTTTCATTCCTCATGGGAAGCTGCCATTCCAGTTATAGTACATGTGGCCACCTGGTAGGGACCTGTATAGATGCCAGAATCTGAAGAAACTGACCTCATGCCACCAACCCTACCACCAGACTCCACTTACGACATATGTCTCTCACATAACTATATCAAAACCCATATTACTTAAGACTCCTGTGAACCCAGGTGGAGACCTGGTTGGCCAGCAGTGTGACAAGACCTGGGGACTCTTGGGCCCAGAGTCAGTGACATAGCCACAGAGGACTAGAGTGGAGAGTGAGCATATGCATAACACCTACACTTGCAGATAATACCCACTTGACCTGGCTTCAAAGACTGAATGATCAGAGCTCAACTAGAAGAAGAAAGAAGAGGAAAAAAAAGAGTAATCTGATACAATTTGATGAACTTGACCTACACCTATGGATGCAGTAGCTCAAAAGAGGGAACAAATCTTTACAGCGAGGATCATTCCCACCCCCTCCATACACAGAGTAGACAGGGATGGGCAACTTGGACACTGGCTACCCAAAATGGGGGGGCTACAAAGGCAAGAAGTGACTGGCTTACAAGCTTTCAAGAGGGAACCTAGATCCAGAGGGCCTGGAGGAAGGTAGAATCTCCACTGAGTATTTATCCAATCTGTCTGGGTGGGGCTGATGAAAGGAAATGCAGATAGGTCTCTTGTGATACAATAGTAAATAATTGCTATCAGGACTGATTGTGAGGGTTGGAAATGTAAAGGTGGACGTTTTTGTAGCAAGAAGGGGAGTGATTAGCTTTTTAGTCTAGGAGTGGAGGCCCCTGGGACTATGAAGAGAGAAGAGCGGAGAGCAGGACCCTACCCAGAGAAGCAGTGATGCTTGAGATGGAGGTAGAGATGATGACATGGAGAGATGGAGCAGCTGGGGATTTTAGACACAAAGAAGGAGAGGGGCTGTGTGCTGATGACCAGGGGGCAGGCTTGTAGTGGTTGCCTGCCCCCTGGTCGTTTGGTTGGTTGATGATGCATGGAGGGGATTGTAACCATGGCAATGAAACGATATACGATAGGATGAATGTATAACTAATGTTCTCCCATGTAAACTATCACATAATTCACAATAAAACTATCAAAACAAAACAAAAAAAACCCCCATATTACTTCAAAAAAATTCCTCTTGATTTCAGCATGCCATCAAATACATGGGATCAACACAAAAGTCCAAGTAGAAAACAACTGGGTCGTGAAAGGGTTGAAGCCCTCCAAATTGTTTCTAAAGGTCAAGCTAAAAATTGTTTCTTCTGTTAGAAGGGTCTGTAAGGATTCAGTAAATAAAATATATTTGATCAAAGTGTACTTGAGATGAAAGTCCCACTGCTCTGGATGAGGACACCAAGCCCCGAGGTTCAATAAGGAAGTCAGAGAGAACTTAGCTGTGGCCTGTAGGCCTCTGGGTTTTGTTTTGTTTTATGGATTTATTTTTTTAATGATCATGTTGTTGTTGTTAGGTACCATCAAGTCGATTTTGACTTGGCGTGTACAACAGAAGGAAACCCTGCCTGGTCCCGAGACATCTTCACAATTGTTACTCTGTTGGACTCGTTTCAGCCACCGTGTGGATCCATCTCACTGAGGGTCTTCCTCATCACCGACCACCCGCTGCACCAACAAGCATGTCTTCCTCCAGGGAGTAGTCCCCCTGATAATGTACTGTAAGCCTGTGCTTTTATGAATCATCAAGAGCCCTCCTTTAAGGTCAAAGATATTGCCCACCACCACCACCATGCCCAAACGTACGGCAGCCACTGACAGCTTCAAAACTGGTCAGCTGAGAAGGCCAGAACACTGGGATGTCCCCTGGATGACACACAATAGGGTCTCCGTAGTCAGGTTGGGAGAGATCTTTGATTCCCAGCAGGCCTGTAGATGGAAAAGGAGAATGTCATTCCACTGGGTGCTGACTGTCAGATACCATCCAAGAAGACACCCAGGGTTCTGATCACAAAAGGAGCACTAGCCACAGGGTTGTTGTTGTTGTTGTTAAGTGCCGTTGAGTCATTTCTGACCCATAGCGACCCTGTATAGGGTTTCCGAGGAGAAGCTGGTAAGCTTGAACCACTGACCTTGCAGTACAAACGGCTTTGCAGTCTGGCGCATTAACCCACAGCGCCACACCAGGACTCCATCTACGTGATATTTGAGATGGAGGTGAAGGAGAAAAGGGATTGATCCAGGCAACTTGATGTCTCACAAGCCAGCATCAGTGGTAGTGTCAGAACAGGCTTTCTCAGGCTCCTATGACACACAACCCATTCTCTGTACCGATTGCTATAACAAAGCCAGCATTTATGAGTTTACCTTGACATAGACTGAGTCACATTACACAGACCCAGGCTTTATTCTTTGTCCCCAACAGTGGCAAGCACAGCAAAAGAGAATGTCGGGCCCAACCCATTTCCAGTAACACACAACAGTGGTGCAGACACCTGACACCATCTCATATGGGGAAGGCAGCAAGTGCTGATTGTATTTTTACAAGATTCAAGATTTTGTCTGGTTTCATTTGCTACACAGCTGAGTCTTCATGAGGCCTGGGGCAGCTTCTGACTACTAGCTCTTAGCCCTTGGATCTGTCCACCCACCCACCCTCAGATTGAGCCAATACACTGGGCACCATGGGGTTCAGACTGAGTTAGCATTTGGGACAAAGCTTTCTCCTGCCCAACGATGTCACTGCTTTGAGATCAAGTCTCAGGGTAGAGAGCTGGGCAACCACCCTCTACCTTCTGCTTCCCATCCCGCTCCCTAAATAGGATCAGTTGAAGTTAAGGAGCTCTGGTAGTGTAGTGGTTATCAATCGGGCTGTGAACCCCAAGGTCAGCAGTTTGAAACTACCAGCTGTTCCGCAGGAGAAAGATGAGGCTTTCTGCTCCCATAAAGATTTACAGTCTTGGAAACCCTGTACAGGGTCGCTATGAATCGGAACCGACTCCAAGGCACACCACCACTACCAATGGACTCCTAGGAGCTCTGGTAGTGTAGTGGTTACGAGTTGAGCTGCTAACCTCAAGGTCAGCAGTTCGAAACTACCAGCTGTTCCACAGGAGAAAGATGAGGCTTTCTGCTCCTGTAAAGATTTGCAGCCTCGGAAACCCTATATAGGGTTGCTATGAGTTGGAACCAACTCCACAGCACCTAACCACCAACACCAATGGACTCCTGGTGTGGCACTGTAGGATCAGCACTAGACCGTGAACTAAAAGTTCAAACCCACCAGCTGCTCTGTGGAAACAGTACAGGGTTGCTATGAGTGGCGATCGACTCGACGGCACATAACAACAACAATGTAATGGCTGGAACTGTGGTTGCCTTGGCAGAACCAGACTGGACATTCCCCCACCCCTCGTCTAGAGCCCTCAGCCCTAAGACTCTCTGGGAGAGGTGAGGACTAGTCGTGAGAACCAAGGAACATAGCAGGTTCCAGCTGCTCAGGTGCAAACCCAACTTTCTCAGGTACAAGTTCAAGTGAGGCTGTTGGAATGCTGAACAAGAATGTCACTGACCTGGGTCACCTATGTGAATGGGTTGTCCATATTCGCCGCCTGTGGAGCAACTGGCCTGAACCAACCTATCCAGCTTGTCCTTGGGGATGGGCCTCATTGTGACCACCAGAGGGCAGCCAAACCCAGCAATGGTGGAGCAAGGCACTGTTGTCTGACGGAAAAAGAAAACGGAATTAACACAGTTCTGAGTCTTGAGCTGGTAGAGTTTGAGGTGGCAGAATGAAGAGGGAGGCCACAGTAGCTGTTATGAAAACTTAGTTTCTACCTTAACGTGACACAGGGATGGGAAAATTTACCAATAATTATTGGCTTAAAACAGGACTGTGACTTTTTTGTGGCGAACTAAGCCCTACAATGTTCAATAGACTTCTGTGAACCCGGGTGAAGACCTGGTTGGCCAGCAGTGTGGCAAGACCTGGGGACTCTTGGGCCCAGAGTCAGTGACATAGCCACAGAGGACTAGAGTGGAGAGTGAAGCGTCCAGCTGATAAGAAGAGAGGGCATATGCATAAGAACACCCACACTTGCAGATAATACCCACTTGTCCTGGCTTCAATGACTGGATGATCAGAGCTCAACCAGAAGTAAAAAGAAGAGGGGAAAAAAAAAAAAAAAAGTATTCTCATACAATTTGGTGAACTTGACCTACACCTATGGAAGCAGTAGCTCAAAAGAGGGAACAATTCCTTACAGCAAGAATCATTCCCACCCCCTCCACACACAGAGTAGACAGGGATGGGCAACTTGGACATTGGCTACCCAAAATGGGGGGTAGGGGGCTACAAAGGCAAGAAGTGACTGGCTTACAAGCTTTCAAGAGGGAACCTAGATCCAGAGGGCCTGGAGGAAGGTAGAATCTCCAGTGAGTAGTATCTAATCTGTCTAGGCATGGTTGATGCAATGAAATGCAGATGGGTCTCCTGTGATACAACAGTGAATAATTGTTATCAGGACTGATTGTGAGGGTCGGAAATGTAAAGGTAGACATTTTATAGCAAGGAAGGGAGTGATTAACTTTTCAGTCTAGGAATGGAGGTCCCTAGGACCATCAAGGGAGAAGAGTGGAGAGCGGGACCCTATCCAGAGAAGCAGTGATGCCTGAAATGGAGGCAGAGATGATGACATAGAGCGATGGAGCAGCTAGAGACTTTAGATCCAGAGAGGGAGAGTGACTGTGTGCTGAAGACCTGGGGAGTACGGGGGCAGGATTGCAGGGTATACCCTTTGTTTAGTTGATGATGCATGGAGAGGATTGTAACCATGGCAGTGAGATGATATACAATAGAATGAGTGTAAAATTAATGTTCTCCCATGTAAACTATCACATAATTCACAATAAAACATTTAAGAAAAAAAAAAAAAAGGAATTCAATCCTAAAAAAAAAATAAATAAAAATTAAAAAAACAGGATTGTGACTATTTTGATATGCTCTGGACCACTTTAAGGAGACTTGGTGCAGCTGTGGGTTAGGCTAACCACAATGTTGGTGGTTCAGACCCATTAGTTGCTCCTCAGGAGAAAATTAAGGCTGTCTGTTCCTATAAAGAAGACAGTCTCGGAAACCATACATAGGGTTGCTGTGAGTTCATGAAGCTGACTTGACAGGAGTGGGCTTGCTTTTTGGTTAGGGACCGCTCTGGCGGTTTGGTCTTTACCGATGAAACCTACTCAAGGTAATACTTTTAAATGCAAAACAGGAAATACAGAGGATTACAAAGGAAACCAATCATTGTAAGTGGAGTCATCAATAAGGAAAAACTATGATACAGAAACATGTGTATTTCGTTACTAATACTTAAGGAACAAGGCTATAGATCTCATACCATTTGTTGTTTGAAGCAGCTAGGCGCACTGTGGGAGAAAGATTTACAGCTTCACAAACCCTACACATTGTCAGCATAAAGGGTGTTTTTGAGATGTCTGAACAACTACCATTAGGGGATATGAAAATACTCGTGGTTTCTTTTGGCAGCCAAAATATCACCAAACACCAAACCCAAGCCACTGCCATTGAGTCAATACTGACCCACAGAGACCCTGTAACACAGAGCAGAGCTGTCCTATAGGGTTTCCAAGGCTGTCGCTCTTTACAGGAGCAGACAAGCTCATCTTTCTTCTCCAGAGGGGCTGATGGGTTCGAACCATTGACCTTGGATTAGCAGCCCAATGCTTAAACCACTGTGCCACCAAGGCCTGCTTACAAAGACACAGGGTCTGCTAAGACGACTGAAGTTTATTCCTTGCATTCATTACGAAAGGGAATGCAACATTTCAGTCAGAGGTTATGAAAATCAAATACTCATTTCTCCCCATCCAATGTTATTGTTGTTGTTAAGTGCTATCCAATTGGTTCCAACTCATAGTGAACCTATGTAGCAGGGGTGGGGAACGTCCAGCCTATGAGTCATATGTTGTTGTTAAGTGCCATCGAGTCGGTTCCAACCCATAATGGCCCTGCATATGGTTTCTAAGGAGCCACTGATGACCTTGAACTGCCAACCTTGTGGTTCAAACTGACTTTGCAGTTTAGTGCATTAACCTACAGTGCCACACCTGGACTCCTATAGACCATATGTTGTTGTTGTTAAGTGTCATCGAGTCGATCGATTCCGACCCATAGCGACCCTGTATAGGGTTTCTGAGGAGCAGCTGGTGAGTTTGAACTGCCGACCTTGCAGTTCAAACGGCTTTGCAGTCTGGCACATTAACCCACAGAGCCACTTGGTCTGGCCCTGCCAAGGCAATCACAGTTCCACCCATCACATTAGGACTGAGTTAATTAAATGTTTAACCAGATAGAGCAGGTTAATTTTTAGTTGATAATCTTGCATGGCGCGTGAATGATGTTATAAATACCCAAATGGCCCTTGGCAGAAAAAAGGTTTCCTACCCCTGGTGTAAGGAGTTCTAGTAGCGTAGTGGTTACTAATTGGGCTGTGAACCTCAAGGTCAGCAGTTTGAAACTACCAGCTGTTCTGTGGGAGAAAGATGAGGCTTTCTGCTCCCGTAAAGATTTACAGCCTCGGAAACCCTGTACAGGGTCGTTATGAGTCGGAACCAACTCCACGGCACTTAACCACCACCACCACCCCTGGTGTATATGGTTTCTAAGGAGGAAACCTATGAGTTTGAACTGCCGACCTTGTGGTTTAAACCGACTTTGTGGTCCAGTGCTATATCCTATAGTGCCACACTAGGACTGGACCCCTGAATATTATCTATAGAGTTCAAAGGACCCTCAGGCCGCAGGTCAGACCCCCTGGGAGAATGTAAGGGAGTACGAAGGACTAGTATCTCCTCTACCTCCCATATCCTCAAGGGGATAGACGTCTACCCCAGGCCCCCGCTTGGCCTAGCCTCCCTCTTCCTGCCTCAACAGAAATGGTCCAAGGTGACCGGTGTGACATTCATTGGCCACGTGTATGTATGTATGTGCTTGTTTTCCTGAATGGTTGTTAGTCCCCACAGTGGGGCTTCTGACAGCTTTAGGACATGACCAGGATTGTAACCCACTGGGGCAGTTTTGGCTCCTGCCTGCAGGGCATGCTGGTACCATCCTGCGGCAGGAAGAGACTGGCTGTGCCTGCCAGGCGGTATCTGGGAAGGGACACGTGCCAGGACCAGGCAGGACAGACAGGCAGTGCTCCCTGAAACTGAGGTGTCAGTGTGATTACTATTGTCACATAGTAACAGTACGCTAGCAACAGTCCTACACAACAATATTATATTATTAGTAGTAACAATGAATCATTAATATCACTACCCAATACTATCACAGCACGAAGCACTTGACCGCAAACTGAGCGGATCAAACTCACCAGCCACTCCTCAGAAACCCTATACAGGGTCACTATGTGTTGGAATGGAGTTGATGACACTTAACAACAACAACAACATAAATTTAATTACATAATAATAAGATGATGGGGAGCACAGTGGTTTTATAGGATAAGCACTGGACTGCGAGCTACAAGGTTAGCAGTTCGAGACCATCAGGTAAAAGATACATTTTTTTGCTCCTACAATTTTTAGACTTGGAAACCCTATACAGGGTTGTTACACTTTGGAACCGACTCGATGTCATTTAACAACCAGGACAATATTATATCATTGTTGTTGTTGTGAAGTGCCAGTAAGTCAGTTCCGACCCATAGCGACCCTGTATAGGATTTCCAAGGAGCAGCTGGTGAGCTTGAACCGCCAACCTTGCAGTTCAAATGGCTTTGCAGTCTGGCGCATTAACCCACAGCACCAATATTAAATCATTAATATTAAATTAAGGCATCTTGGTGGCACCACAGTTAAGTACTTGACTGCTAACTGGAAGGTGGGTGGTCTGAACCCATCCAGTGTCTCCTGGGGAGAACAGACCTGGAGGTCTGCTTTGGGAGGAATTACAGCCTAGAAGACACTAGAGAGCAGTTCTGTGCTGTCACATGAGTCACCAAGAAGCAAAAATCAACCTGAGTGCACCTAACATCAATATTGGAGTCCTGGTGTGGCGCTGTGGGTTAATGCGCTGGGGACCGCAGAGTCATTTGAACTGCAAGGTGGGAAGTTCAAGCTCATCAGCCTCTCTTCAGAAACCCTATACAGGGTCGTTATGGATCGGAACTGACTCGGCAGCACTTAACAACAACAGCAGTTTTATTGGAGTTCTGGTGTGGTTCTGTAGGATAAGCACAGGACCGCCCGGTTAGCTTGAACCACAAGGTCGGTGGTTCAAACTCACCAGCTGCTCCTCAGAAACTCTATACAGGGTCACTATGAGTCAGAACCGACTCGATGGCACTTAACAACAACAACAATTAGCTTTATTATTATAAAAACAGTAAGGCCTTGGTGGCTGTATGTTCCCCAGGCCCCCAGCTGAATCCAAGATGGCTGCCTGGGGCCAACACAGGCCCATCGGGGACAGTGAGGTGTTGTGGGGAAAAGGTAGTGCAGAGACAGCATAACTGGATTGGACTCTTAGGGTACACAGTGTTGAGCATCATTCCATCTTCACAGCTCTTATGCATATTTTTTGGTGGGAGTCAGCCATTATGGGTTCTAGCTTGGCTTTGTGGCTTGTCCCTTTTTCTCTCCAGGCCTCAGTTTCCTTAACTAAGATGAAAGACTCATGCTGAGCCATGAGGCCCTCCTAGCCCCTCCAAGCTACAAGAGACCATGTGTTCCAGGGCTGGAGCCTGGCGTGGGCCCCAGCCAGCAGTGGCTGTTCAGCGTTGCTGCCCCGGCTTCCAGAAAACCACTGGGCGCCCACTTCCCACATGAAAACCCCTTGTTTCTGATCAGAGGCCACCTCAGCTTCTCTGGCAAGAGCCCAGAACAGGCAAGTTTGCATAAACGTCCTGGGGTCTGAGAGTCCATCTTTCATCTGATTCCTTCATAAATAAAGAAACCAGGAGGCCAGACATTTATAAGTAGGGTAAATTCTCGGCCTTAACAACAACAAAAAACTGCTCAGAAATGCAGAGGCCAATGAGATGAGGAAATCGAGTTCTCTCATCTGGACAAGAAACAGCCGGAAGAAACCCCAGCATTCCAGCAAAGAGCACCTTACCCCAGAGGCCCTGGGTGAGGTGGCTGCATGGCATCTGTGCCCACCACAAGCGCAGAACGTGCGTGACCAGCTTTCTGGGCAGAAACATAAAGCAGCCGCAGACAGGAAGGCTTTCCCACAAAGCTCCCCGACACACAGAGCCAGCACCTTCTCCCTGAGGTGATGGGCACCCCACAGGGAGAGTTTTCCAAAGACCTCCTGAGGAGCCCTAAATTGGAAGAGCCAGACAAAATTTCACAGGAGCCTGGCTGACACAACCTCAAAAGATCTTTTTACTTCCGAGGTCACCGAATGGCTCACTCTGTATGTACACATATAGCCCCAGAGACGGTCCCATTTTCCAGACAAGGAAACAAATCCAGAGAGGTTAATTGTGTGACTTGAGCTGACAGCTGCTAAGGGGCTGAACTGGGGCCCCAGCTGAGGCCTTTTGTCTCTTGTGCCAATTCTCTCCCACCACAGGGAAATACAAGTCCATCCACATTGCCAAGACATCCTGCCTTGGTGGTTTACGTCCGCCTACCTTGTATGCACCAGCGTTCCTCTGACCCGCTGCGTCTCTGCTGGGCAGCCCCACCTCCTTGCAGGCCTCCTCTGGGGAGAAGCTGCAGCCCAGGATGAAGGCCACCATGTCCTTCAGCTGCTCCAAGTACTCCTCCAACGAGGCCAGGCTGCCTGTGCAGATGCCAGACTCGTATTTCCAGAACTGAGGACAGCCCGACCTAGAGATACACAGGAAAACTCCCAGACTCCCAGACTCTCCATCTGTCTCCTGACAAGGGATTGGGAGAGGGAGGAGGATGTCTAGGACTGAGGTTTCAGGCACTGAGGTTGGGGACATGGTTTGGAGCAGGGGGTCTTGCTGGCATTCTTTTAAACTCCTCAGAGCAGAGACTCTTTGATCAGTAGGCATGGAATGTAGTTTCTTGCCCCTACCCCCATTATATTGCCTCTAACTTCCACCCAAGACCAGCCAAACAAGTACCAAAAACCAATGGTGCCCTCTCAGTCACCAAGGTGGGTTGGCACACTGAAAAGGACATAGGGCACATGTCTCCAGGACTCTCTGTGACATCCTTAGAGAAGTAGTACTGTGAGGTTGGAAGACGTCTTTGATTACAAGTCTGAGATCATTTACTGAGCCATGCTAGGCAGATGCTGGGTGAGGGCGTTCCAGTGATGGTAAGGATACCAGCCCAGTCCTCAAGGAGTTTACAGCACTGTGTGGGAAAACAAGACTGCACTGAAGACAGACCCTTGCCATACAGAGATGTGAGTCTTAACTGTCCAGGGAGCGAAAGAAAGAAAAAGTCTATTCACCCTTTCAAAGAGGAGACATTGGGACTGGGTCTTGAAGGATGAATAGGAGTTCATGGGGTGGGGGGAGAAGGGGAGACGGCATGGAAAAAGCAAGGAGACATTAAACACCCTGGTCCATTGTGGGTTCTTCTTTAGGTGTCTCCAAGGTGGCAGTGAGGGGACACACCAGGGGAAATATAAATGATGCAGTCTTGGGACCAGGTTGGTGTCTGAAGGGCTCTTCCTTCTCTGGAGTCCACTCCCAGATAATGCAGAATTAGCTTTATTGGAGTCCTAGTGTGGTGCTGTAGGATAAGCACTGGACCTCCCGATCGGTTTGAACCACAAGGTTGGCGGTTCAAACTCACCAGCCGCTCCTCAGAAACCCTATACAGGGTTTACTGTTCTTGGAGAGCTGTGTGTGTGTGTGGGAAGAACACTGGAGGTGGCGACAGAGATTGAGCAGGGGCCAGAGCACCATAGGTCTTGATAACAGGCAAAAGAGAAAGTCAGGGGAGGCACTGGACAATTTAAAATACGGGAGTGACACAATCAGATGTAAAATGAAGAAAAGTCACTCTGGTTGAAGAATAGAAGATGGGGGCAAGGAAAGAGGGGGAGAAGTCTGGGGTAACAAGAACAGTGAAGATGTCATCGTCTGGATGAGAGAAGTTGTCAATCTGTGATAGAATAGTGGAGAAGTGTGGAGTCTCCAAAGAAGGATTGAGAAGACTCAGTAAACCTGTTGCTATGGAACGAATTGAGTTCCCCAGACAGATTCTGCTGACGTTCTAACCCCTGTACCTGAGCATGTGACCTTGATTAAAAAGAGTGCTTTTGTTGTTAAGTGATATGAAGTCATATTGGGATAAAGTGGGTTCTAATCCTAATCTCTTCTGAATGGTGTGTTTTTAAAGGAGATTTCTCACACCCAAGGGGACAACATCACAGGAAAGTGTATCTACAAGCAGCAAAGAACGCCAAGGATTGCTGGTCGCCACTGGGAGCGCAGAGGGAGGCATGGACCAGAACCCTCCACAGGAACCGATATGGCCCTGATTTAAACTTCAGGCTCCAGAACTATGTAGTCAGTATGTGCCTGTTCTCTCAAGCCATTGGGTGGTATTTTGTGACTGCAACCCTAGGAGACAGAGACAGAGACAGCTATGTATTCCCTGGGTTATATTTTCAACATCTGGGAGACCAAGCACCACGGTGGCAGCATCTGACTCTGGGGGTTGGGACTATGAGTTCTCTTGATCCTGGCTGGGGTGATTCAGTGCATGGAGGGTAGTGACAATGCGGTTCCAAAGAGTTTACCCAGGACAGGGGCAGGAGCAGGGTAGGAGTGGGAAGGGAGAGGGGTACAGTTATTCCTGAGCAACAACCATGAGGGAGGCCCCATGCCAGGAGTGTGGGGTCCCCAGGGCTGGACAGAGGTCCCTGATGACAGAGACACGTGCCTGCAGCACCTGGCCACCCCCCCAGCCTAAACCCCTGCAACGTAGGCTTTTTACCTGGTGTCTGAGACCATTCCCAGGGCAGACCATGCCCACTTGCCAGGCTCCTTTCGACTCAGTAGGGGCAGGACACTACTGTTGGCCTGGCAGAAACTCTCAAATGCTGGGGCCAGGGACCTGTGCAGGACCACCACGCTGGCTGGCTGCGGGCCTGGGTTGGTAAGAGTAGGAACAAGGGCAGAGTCATTGCCTTCTCAGTGGACTTTTAACTTTTTATTGTACATGCATAAAAGTGCAAATGTGCGATTGTTGCTGTTAAGTGCCTTCAGTTGGTTCTGACTACTAGTGACCCTGTATAGGGTCTCTGAGGCTTTTCACATTTTTGTAGGAGCAGAAAGCCTCCTTTCTTCTATGGAGCAGCTGGTGGGCTCAAACCACAGGACTTGTTTCTAGTTCAGTGTTTATCATACGGAGCCACCACACTCCCTAAATATGGGTTGTTGTTGTTGTTGTTAAGCGCCGTTGAGTTGGTTCCAACCCATAGTGACTCTGTATAGGGTTTCTGAGGAGCAGCTGGTGAGCTTGAACCACCTTCTAACACCACAGATAACATTGGACTGTCCTTGGACTTCATATAATGGAGCCATACACTAGGTCTCTTTGGAGGCTTGATCCTTTCACTCAGCAATACGTCTGTGAGATCTCACATGGTCACATTTAAAGGAGTTGACTCCTTTGATTACATGAACGTATCTCAATATATTTGCCCAGTCTACTGCTGATGGGCATTTGAGTAGTCTCCAATTTTGGGTACTGCCACATTTTAGTACCTACGCTCTGGGGGCACATAAGTACGCATTTCTTTTATGTAAATATGTAGGACCTTAAGATATGTAGGTAAACATGTCTGTGTAGGTTTAGTAGGCACTGCCTGTAGTTGTACCAATTTGTACTCTCTCTGCCAGATTATGGGTGTCTTAGGTGCTTCTGATCTCAGATACATCTGCGGCAGGTGGGGTGGTATCTATCACATTGTGGTTTTCATGTACATTACCATGATGACAGACAGAATCAGGTGATCTTCTCTCCACTGATTACATTGACTATTTGGAGATTCTCTTCAGGGGAAAGACTGTGTCTGGGCAGACTCTAAATTGATCAGGATCACTGAATCCTTGGCAGTTCCTGGGAAAGGACAGTTGTAACTGAGCTACTGGTGCAATGGTTAAAGTGCTTGACTACCAACCAGAAGGATGACAGGGTCAACTCACCAGTCACGTGATGCAAGAAAAGGCCTGGTGAGTTGCATCTGTAATGATTACCCATCACCACTGAGTCAATGTTGACTCACAGAGGCCCTAGAAGGCAGAGTACACCTGCCCTTTACGGAAGCAGACTGCCACATCTTTTTCTCAAGGTGGGTTTGAACCAGCAACCTTTTTATTAGCAGCCAAGTGCTTAAATAATGTTCCACTGGTGCTCCTATGGGGCAGCTCTACTCTGACTTACAGGGTCACATTCAATAACAACAACTGAGCTATAAAGAAAGACCCACACTTACACTACACAATCTCTCGAACAAGAAATTCTTGAGTCTTGGAGGCAAACAGAACTGGGTTCCAACCCCGATTCTGCCTCTGATCAAGTCTCTGACCAACTCTGTGATCCTGGTCAGTAGCGCTTAGCATTGCTCAGCCTCAGTTTTCTCATCTGTGTTGTTGTTACGATTCAGAGCAACACTGTACAGGTTGTTCCAGGAGCAGCTGGTGAGTTTGAACTGCCAACCTTGCGGTTCGAACCATAAAATGGTCTTAATCATGGAACCTACCTGAAAGAGCATTCAGTAGGTTGTTGTATGCAAATTACCTAACATATGTATGTTTCTAAGAAACAGGGTCATAGACATTTAAAATAAGGTATAAGAAGTATTTCATGATATTAGAAAATGTTCATGACATGTCACTAAAGGAAAAATACCAAGCAACAGAACAGTGTGTTCAGCATACTATTCTTTCTATAAGATTGATGAGGGGAAGGCCTAGAAGGGAATCAGGTTAGCCATGCTTATCTCTAGAGGATGGGATGGTGGATGATTTAAATTTTCTCCTTTGAGCTTTTTCCATATTCTAAAAAGTAAACATGAGTTTTAGAATATTTATTTAGAATCAACAGGAGCCCTGGTGTGGCACTGTAGGATAAGTTCTGAGGTTCAAACCCACCAGCTGCTCCCCAGAAACCCTATGCAGGGTGGTTATGAGTCAGAACTGACTCAACAGCACTTAATAACAACAACAAACATGCATAATTTCTGCAATTGGAGAAAAAAACATATAAGAAAAACTATGTTACTGTGGGTTGGAACCAACTCAACGACACTTAACAACAACAACAACAACGTTTCAAAAACAGGGGGAGGGGAACTCTTCTTTTAAAAACAAAACCAGAATGAAGGCCCTTTAGATTTGTTCTATCACCACGTGACATTTCTAAGTCACTCATATACATCGTCTTTCACATTTTAAAGATGAGACAAATAGGGCTCAGAGAGGTGAAGTGACTTTCCCAGGGTTGCACAGCTCCTGCGTAGCACCGCAAGGAGGCTCAAACCTAAGACCCAAGAGCCTTCAGTCCTTCTCACATCACCCTTGCACTGGACTAGGATGCTGGGTCTCCCTAGGGCAGGTCTACTGACACCTGTGGTTCCTTCCTTCCTCCTTGGGGATTATGGATTGAAGCAGATACAACCGACCACTGGGAAAAGGCCAGGCCCATCTCCTCCTCTTCCCAGTGGAGCCTGGAACCCATTATCTCAAACCCCATGGTGCCTGCAAACAAACCTTCAAAACGAGGACACCCTAGGTGCTGAAAGGCCAAGGAAGCTGGCCACACGTTTTAAGCAAGCCCAGCGTGGCTCCAAAACTAATCTAGAATGAGGTGGAAGGGAATGCAGCCAGCTAAACCTTCCTCCAAAGCCTGTTGTGAGAACAAATTGGACTCTGAATACAGCAAATTAGGAAGGCCTTATGTGCACACAGCTTCTTTGTTTCTTTCTTAATGAGATGTAGCCAGGAGGCCACTTTTGTGGTTTTGTTCATCTCAGCTGCTGGTCGCAGGAAAGTCCCTGAGTCATCTACCTCAGTGAGCAGACTTAACTTCCCATGCCGTGTAAAAGGAATAATACGCACTTCCTTTTCCTTCTTTTGGCTTCCTTCCAAGTGGATGTGATCATGGAGTAGGCAGGGCAGCCGTCTTACGATCATGGAGGAAAGGCCAGGAGAATCGTTGAACCAGCAGATGCCCACCTCCAGGTGAGAAAAATAAACCCCTACTGGTTTGAGCCATTGTTAATTGAGTTTTCTGTTACCTAAGGAGCTCTGGTAGCTAATGGCTGCGAATCTTAAGGTCAGCAGTTCGAAACTACCAGCTGTTCCACGGGAGAAAGATGAGGCTTTCTGCTCCCGTAAAGATTTACAGCCTTGGAAATCCTGTACGGGGTCGCTATGGGTCGGAACCGACTTGACAGCACTTAACAACAACATGGCTAAAAGCAGCTTAATTAATACTTGTCTTTTGTAGTCTCCTGGGATCCACAGCTTTCTAGGTACCATAGCTATACTAGAACTTCACTCAAAGCACCTCATAGCCCATGACCCCATCTCTGATATAAGCAGCTAGAGCTAGGGGCAAAATAACAGGGACAAATAGATAATATTTATTTAAGCACATATCTACCTATTTTAGCTCATGTAGTCTGTCAGAGGAGACTCTGAAACTTGCTCTCCAGCGTAGAGAAGCTAAAGCAAAGGGAAGAATTGAAGAGGTCCAAGAGCTGAACAGAAAATTTCAAAGGTCAGCTTGAGAAGATAAAACCAAATACTATAATAAAATATGCAATGATTTAGAGTTGGATA